TGGGACAGCTGAGACTTGAGAGTGATGTACCCATAGGACTTCTGAGAGACATGTGTGTAGGTACTGTGCACAAATCAAACTGGCCTGTGGCAACTTCAGTTTTTATTCTAAGGTCCCGCACCTTTTTCTGTTGTCTTCAACTTTTGTGGGAAATGAATTTTTTTTTTTTTATCAAATACAACCCTTTCCACTTAAATTATGGCTAAGAGGTTCTGTATTTTAGACATTTTATGTATATGTGTGAATGTCTGGGAACTAAAAATATATTACAGAATATTTATCATGAAATAGGGGCTTGTAGGTCTAGAAAGGATTCAAGACCATTAGCCTAAAAATGATGACTAACTTTCCATACAAGCTTTAAGAAAAAATATTTTTACTTAATCCTGAATTTGTTTAAATGGAATTTTCTAGGTCAATGTGAGTTTCAAGAAATACAGTCCTCTGCACCACTCACAGAGGGGGGACTAGTACATCTAGGGTCCCCCCCCCTGCTCCCCTGGAGAAGCAGGGCAGCCTCCAGGCTCTTGTTCACCCTCCCTTCCTTCTCTGTGTCTGGTTTTGCTCACACAGCCCTTTAGCCTGAGAAACAGTGTTTTTTCCTGATCTCCTGTTTTGGCCATGGTAGCTCTTAGCCTCCAGACCCCCTCCACCTCTCCCTCCTCCCCAGTGCCCCACCTGTTAGCTCAGTATTCACTTTCTGGGATGAGGAGTCTCCAGGACAGCTCTCTTGGAACTTCTACTTGGGAGAGCCATATGTAGTACTGATTCCTAAGATAGATCTCTTGCCCAGACTGTCTGTTCCAGATTTTAAAAGCTTTTAAAACCCAATACATCTGCAGATCCCCTTTGGGCTAGCTTCACCCTGCTCTCCTCAATTTCAATGAATTGTTGCACCAGTCCGTTCCCCGGGGGACAGGCCAGGAAACTTTGAGCCATCTTTCATTCCTTGTCTGCATCCTCACAGCTGATTCAGCATCAGATGATATCAGCATGATGCTGACACCATGCTGTACCGCTGGTCCAGCGGGCTCTGGCAGACAACGCATCCTCCGAGCCCACGTCAGGCGATTCCTTACTAAGTAACCAACACACTAGTCCCAAAGCCTAGTCCCTACTCGGTGCCCAGGGGCTCCCTAGAAGACAATAGCCCCCATAGGCCTGCCTTGAGGTGAGTTTCAGTCTTACTGAGAACCTTCTGAAGCAGAGAGGTCAAAAGCCTTCCATTAGGGTGACCCCTGATGTCCTAGACCTACTGCGCTGGAAGGAGTGTGCAACCCAGGGCTCATCAAGCCTTCATTTGTTATTCTTGATGAACCTTTGTCATCAGCAAAGCCTCGGGGTTTAGGTGATGGCATTATCCCCGGCACTCAGTCCTCTTGCTAAGAGTGGATTGTCCTGGCGACACTACCCTTCACCGGGCCCTGTGCTGCCCTCCACAGTTGGGGCAGAGCTGCCAACATGAGCTCAAACCTTGAGCTCCAAGGCTTAGCCTAACAACTCCCTGGGTGTTCTGTGTGGCTCCCTCCCTTCTGCTTTTCTCGCTGGGGTAGGGTTCCTTACGAATTTTCTTTGGTATTGTGCTGAATCTATAGATCAAGTTGAGAGGAAGTAAAGTTTTAGCAATGGAGTGTTTCCCAGCCAGGGAGTTCATCTCTTCAGTTATTAGCTTTTCTTTATTCCTTGGTATAAATTTTTAGTTTTCTTTTTGTTTTATTTATTTTTAGAGACTGAACATTTTCCAGCATCCATCATAAAAGTTTTCTTAATTTTTTTCTGTAATTATTGACACATTTCAGGTCATGATAGAAATATAATCTCTCTTGTAATTAAACAACCATTTAGTTACCCTTTGAACATCCAACCAAACCTTTCCACCAGCCTGCATCTACATCAAGTATCAGCCCTGTTTCTTTAGCCTGTTTTCCCTACAGCCAAGGACAGAACTCCGTTGGCATTCACCCATCCTCTTCTTTGGGTCACCTTTGCTTTCTCCAGGTTGTTTGAGACAGAGGTCTTTAAACTTTTTTTAAACTAAATATGAGATGTTTATATTAACATCTCATATTTCTGCAAAGGTTTTGGATGAACAAAGTATGGATTTAGGGAGTTGGGGAGTTGGATTCAGGGCAGAGGTTTTCTTGAGTAAACTTATTTTACATTGAGAAGTCAGGAAAACAGATATGGATGGAAAGATCACAAGCATCAATCACAGTAGAGACAACGGAAGAAAGAAACAGAACTAAACCGATGGATTAACCCATCAGCCAATCAGATATGAAGAGGATATGACAAGGAAAACTGAGTCAGGGACCCCTCCAGATGATGTAGCCATGATTACGGATAATGGCTATTGCTGTGGTTTGGATGTTAAGTGGCCATCAAAGGACCATGAGTTAAAAGCTTGGTCCCCAAGAGTGATTCTAGGGAAGGGGAAACTTTCAGACAATGGAGCCTAGTGGAAGGCAGGCAGGCAGGCAGGCAGGCAGGAAGGGGGGACTGGAGGAAGTAACTCATGGCCTGCTCTTTGAGGACTGTGAGATTCTAGACTGAACTCTTGCCCTGATTCCTGGTTACAGATGTGACTGAATTGCTCCTCTACACAACCCTGCTATGATGTGCCACTACCTACCAGCCTCCCTGGAATGTGTTGATTGAAGCATATGGCACTCAAACCTTCAAAACTATGTTAGTCGCTGCAGGTATTTTATAATTATAAAAATTATAAAAATATAAATGTGCCAGGATGACTAACAGATCCACCTTCTTCATTCTTGCTAACCGTCCTTTCCCAGGGAACTCACTTCATCCATGAGCAATTGGAGAAAATGAAAGTCCAGAAGTAGTCCAGGTCTGTTAGAAGCGACTCCATTGTTCTTGGGCAAACTCCAGGCAGATGTTTCTACCAGAGTTACAAGGGTTTCTGCTTGGTATTCTGCCTGAAAGCTCAAGGGTCCATTTCCTAGTCTGTCTGTCAGTGAAGAATACAATTAATGAGGGCGCAGAGGGACCGGGCTCTTCTTCATCTTCTTCTCAATTAACTAGTCAGCTGTCCTTGGTCACATTCACTAATAGTCTTCTTCTCTATTGTTCGGGGTCCCTTTTGAGGAATTAATAGAAGAGACCCCCTTGCCATCCTCTGAAGCCAAAGACTGACTCTTGCTATGTGAGATGCCTCTCTTTTGCACCCAGGAAAAGTTTCTCATATTTTACCCTATCTTCTCTTTATAGACCAGGCATTGAAGAAAATAGGAAACCCTTTATGGGTTAGGCCATCCCAATTGGTTATGTCTTATGAACTGTTTGTTTCTCATCAGTAGGATATACCAAATGTGTGTTTCAGGCCAACGTCCCTGAAGATATCAATCTCATGGGCTTCCCAGGGCAGGTAGCTTGGTGCTAGAGACATGATACAGAAAGTCTGTCCACAGTGGGCTCTGGAGATCCCTCAGACACCAGGACCATATCTGAGTCCACTGTGGGATGATCAAAGACTAAATATTTAAGTCATATATTTCATGCCCAAAGTGAAAGTGATGGCAGCTTCCTGAGAGGCTGAAAACTGGGACTGAAGCCCAGCAATCCTGCACTCCTTGCCTGGCTCAGGATGCATGGGTGATGCTTCTGTATTCTCAGGCACGGAACCTGGAACAGGGCGACATGTGGGTGGCAATGCTTGCGGGTTCCAGAGAAGGTGGCCACAACAACTTGGTGGCCTTGTCCAGGGCAGAACACCGATTATCCCTTAATGGGTCTGAACTTAGAGAGAACTACGACAAAGAATGTATGTCCTTCTTGGAGGTAGGGAAACACCGTTGTTACGGTTGTTCCAGATGAGGCTCACTAGGAGTCTCTGGAAAGTACTCAAGATTCCTCCGTGTCCTGTGGCTGAAAGGAAGGACCAGTGTTTCTGAACCTTGCATGGACTATGTTTACGTGACTTAAATGTCTCTGCTCTTCTGAAAAGTATTCAGCAGAGCCCTTGCCAAGGACGCACCCTTGTGACACTCCACTCTTTCCTTAATAATTACATAGTTGATTCTGGGTATGTTGTCAAAACATGCACTATAACACGATCTAGCTGGAGATTTGTCTTTTTGCCCCCTGCTGCTCTGTATTGCATCTGGTAAAGCTGGTGAAGGAGGGGGAGAGGAAGCCTGGGAAATTGGTTAATGTTTCAAATCTCTAAGTGTGCGTCTCCAGGCACGTCCTTTTCGCCACTCTCCAGGCCATGTTAGGGCAGCCACAGGAGCTACTGAGCTGTGGCTACAGCTGCCCTCTGAAGAGGCTGTCAGTCGCAGGCCAGTGCCTAGCGGAGATTCTGGCCTTCTATGCAGGTCACGGACTGTAGGCACTACTTCCATAGTCTACTCTGCTGTCACCTGGGACGGCGGGCAGGCCGGTGAGGAAGAGTGACAGGTGGTCAGTTTTGTCAGTTCCCTCTCACTCAGACAGTGCTAGCCCCCCTCTTCGATGAGGTGCTGTTTGCGAGAAGTGACATAAGAAAATCTGCAGGCAACTGCTCGTCCTGTGCTGAGGACAAAGGGAGCAATGGCAGTGTCTCTGACCGTGGTCCATGGCATGGAGGACTGGGTCCTGAGCAAACACAGGCCCAGCCTGCACTTCTCACAGTCACCTGCTCTGCACGACACATGGAATGGGAGAGGGGTATATCAGGGACCTTCCCAGATCTGGGGCGCTGGGCCAGGAGAAGTTTGGTTTGCCAGGTTGTGGGAAATGGGAGGGGAAGGGGTGTGGCTGAGCTCATGGAAAGACCACAGCTCTGCTCACGGAGAAATCTATTTCCCAGTCATGGACAAAACTACAAGGTAAGGTTGTATTTCAAGGAGTTGGCCTGGTTCACCTCTTGGCCAGTGTAGCTTTTAGAGCACTCCTCAGGGAAGGGATGGCCCTTCACTGGGCCGTTCTCCCGCCACATCCCTCGTCCTGTGGACACATGCCCACCCGGTCCCATCAACAGCTCTTTCTCAGAGGCCTACCTTGGGTTTGAAGGCAATGAGCTTCAGGATCATCTCCACTGTGAAGAGGCCAGTGAACAGCATGTTGAGGATATTCATGGCGATTTTGAAGAGGCAGCTCTGGCCATAATGCTAAGAGGAAGGAAGGGGAAGACCACGAACATGAGGCTGAAGTCCTCTGACTCTTTATCACCTTTGTCCCGCTTTCTCAGATGCCTCCATGTCTGCAGAGATCTTCCTTGAGCCATCCTCAGAAGGCTACCCACCATGCCTTGGGCAGGCAGGCAAACCCTGGAGTCATTGCAAGCTCTTGCCTTTCCTACTGTGTGAGAGCTGGGTAGCAGAGATCTGAGTTCCTGATGATTGGGCATGATGACTTCTAGATGTTTCTGGCACATGAGAGCCCTGGCACAAACTGACTTCCTTGTAGGTAGGATTTGAATCCACCTCCACACCCATGCCTTATGATGACGACTCCAAGCTTACTCTCATGGTTCTCTACCTCCTCTATTCCCTGTTATCAATCTAGGGCCCCGGGGATTCTTCCATAAGCTCTCAGAGGAACCCCATCCCTGAGAAGGGCTACTTGTCTTTCTCTCACTCTTCTGACTCCCTGACTGTCCCAGCTGTAGGCAGTGACCACTTGGCCTGGCCTTGCGGCTCCTTTTACTACATCTTTCCCCAGCACTTTCCCTAGGCTAGCCCCCCACCCATAGACTGACCTGCATGGCCAGGCAGATGGTGTTGAGCAGGATAAGGACGAACATCAGATACTCGAAGTAGGTAGAGTTGACCACATACCACACTTTATACTGGTGCTGGTTCTTGGGGATGTACCTTCGCAAGGGTCGGGCCTTGAGGGCATATTCCACACATTGTCTCTGGAAGGGAAGGAGGAGAAGTGAAGGCACGTGGAGGAAGAGTGGGGGTGACAGAGGGTGTGGGACAATAAAAGGCAGGATGCTTGCAAAACCACAACCCAGGAAGGTGTTCTCAGGCTCTGCTCACACGTGTGGCATGTAATGGCTTTTGATTTTTCTGGCATCCCTTGTCAAGGACAGAGGCCCCTTCCAGCAACTCTTCTTCAGATTGCAAGCAATGAGCTCAGCTCCTTTTCTCCAACCGGTAATGACTGGTGCATTGCTCAGCAAGTGCTTGGCGCCTCATAAATACCGATTGGCTCATAGCTCTCATTGGCTTTGTCCCACACCACAAATTCTCCATGGGGTATTTCTTGCCTAATTTGTTTTTTTTTAATCCTAAATCCTTCTTCCTTCTTGTTGAGCATCTACATGATCAGAAGACACAGAACTGTCAAGAGAGGAACTCTTGTTCTAACTAGAGTCTTGGGAATACAGAAAATGTCAGGCAATCTCTATGCACAGCACCCAAATCTCTAAATCAGGAAGCAGAAAACCAGCCACTGTAGCCTGCTTGACCCTTGACCTCCATGCTTAATCCCCAAGTCTTGCTGATCTGACCTGTTTTTATATCTGTTAGGTCAGGTTCTCTACACACTTCATCTATGCTTCCTTCCTTCTCTTTCTTTCAATGCTACACAGTAGCCCAAATGTTGAATCTAAAGCTAAATAGCAGATATCAAAGCCCACAAAGGGTCCAGCTTTCCTGTCAAGCACAGAGCTGGGCACACTGGGCTGTATCCTCATGAGCTGGCTTTATTTAGAACATGTTTTCACTGGGAGGGCAAAGGGAGCTGAGGTTTCAGACCAATGTCCAATCCTAACAGCACCTTACTCACCCAGGGGAGCTGAGAGAGCACATTCTAAGACCTTAGTGTCACCATGCCACACCCCCTTAAGACTCTTCTCTCGACCCCTGCTCAGACCTCTGTTTTGCTTGAAAAGCCATCTAAGTGGTTTCTTAAAACTGTTCTCTTGGCCATCCCAAGCTCTCTCTTTACAACAATGTTCTAGTCGCTCCTTTGACAATTAGTGTAGGAGGTCCTTCTGTCAATGTGCTGCTTTTACTGGTTAATGAATAAAGAAACTAGCTTGGCCTGATAGGGTAGAACAGAGCTAGGCAGGGAAAACTAAACTCAATGCTGGGAGAAAGGAAGGTGGAGTGAAGAGAAGCCATGTAGCCCCGTCAGAGACAGATTTCAGTCAGAATCTTGCCGGTAAGCCACAGCCTCGTGACAATACCCATATTAATAGAAATGGGTTAAATTAAGATGTAAGAACTAGCCAATAAGAAGTTAGAGCTAATGGGCCAACAGTGATTTAATTAATACAGTTTCTGTGTGGTTATTTTGGGGCTGAGCAGCCAGGAACTAACAAGTGTCCTCATACTACAGACAATGATGCTAACATACCTGGGCATAAAGTAACTTCCTAATTTTTGGATATGACATAAATTTCTTTTTTCCATGTTGTCTGAAACAAAGTATTGCTAAGGGGAAGTTTAACAAATATTCGCTGATTGATCGTATTTTCCAGATCTGGGATTTGGGAGGATTTCATGTCTGTCAGGTCTGAGAAAGACTGGATCCACATTTCTGCCACAGGGATTTGGAACAAAAACCCTGTTCTAGTGCATGACAGGACAGAGAACATTAGCATCCACACACATCTCTCTAAGTCCCGTAGGCTCTCTTCTAATGACTCTTGGGCAGCCAACTTCTGCCCTTCCTTCTGGGGTCCCGGCTTTCCTCCTTTCCTTCCCAGAAAGCTACCTGGTTCTTGTCCAGCTCACAGTTCTTGTACTCTTGCTCCCCCTGCTCCTGGAAGGTGACAATGACGAAACCCACGAAGATGTTCATCATGAAGAAGGCAATGATGATGATGTAGATGATGAAGAAGATGGAGATCTCCACACGGTAGTTGTAGATGGGGCCCTTGTCTTCTGTGTGGGAGTCGATGGAACGGTACAGCAGCCTACAGGAGGAGACAGGCTCACAGAGTGAACTGGAGAAGCAGTGTCACCTCCATGAGATGATGGCACCACTGCTCCCAGGGATCCCTGCAATCAAAGGAAACAGCTCCAGGCTGGGGCCAGAGGGTCTGGGGCTCAAGTCCCTTCTAGGCAAAGCAATGAATCTCTTTGGCACTGAGTCCACAACTGTCAAGTGGAAATGATAATTCCCTACTTTCCTAACTGACAGAGCAGCTGATATAATATATACACAGTGTTTTGAAACTGTCAAGAGCTGTTGAACTGTAACATCCATCACTGACACCAATTTCAAATACAGAAGTATTGGTAAATATTGAAACAGCTTTGCAAACTGGCATGGGCTAAAGGAGGTGAGGCCAAACAAAAAGTAAACCTGAGGAAAAAATATTCATTTAGATAAAATAAAACTAGCATGACCTTAGATTATTCACATTATCTACAGTAGTTCAGATTACACACACACACACACACACACACACACACACACACACACACACACGTCTGCCATACATTGCAGGCTGGGCTGTGGGGTCAGAATTATTTCTTTCTCTTCTATTGTAATTTCCCTGGCATATGGCTATTCTCCAAGTATCGCTTATATATTGCCATATAACAATGGCAAATCCCATCCATGCACTGTTGGATGGGGACACAGTTGTTTAAACCAAGACACAAAGGGCACTAGATGAGCCAGCCTGCTACCAGCCATGCTGTGTGAGGACCAATGAGCTGGTCCTGTAGGGAAACTATCACATCTGCAGAGGAACTGGGTCCCTGGCTTTTGTCTCTTTCTTAGTTGACAGTGTCAATGTAGACAAGGCTTTCCCCAAGGAGACTAGTACACAGTCTAATGGGACAGAGACCTCCTGGTTACCTTTACCCATACCAGCTACACTGGTAAACTAGAACTCTGGTGATCAAAGGTTTACACAGAGAAATTCTGTATTTGACTCAGAAATGCCATAAAGATAATGGCAGGGACTTCTAATCCTGTGACTCATACTGATCTTGGGGAAAGGAGTTAAAAGGTATCCATTTTTGGTTGGGATTTCTAAGATGCTGCAGATGTATTGAGTGGTACAGCACTTGCATGACATGCACAAGGTCCTCAGGGAAATCCTCTGCATCCCCATCTCCTATAATACCTTTTATAAGAGATAGTTTCTGTTTTTGAGACAGAGTCTCACTATGTAGTTTTGGCTGGCTTGGAACTCACTACATAGTCTAGACTAGCCTCAAACTCAGAGATTCTGTCTCAGAGTTTTATCTGCTTCTGGCTCCCCAGTGCTGGGATTAAAGGTGTGCACCCCTATGTCCAGCTAAAAGTCTATGTTTCTGTGGCGATCATGTTCTGTGAGAATTCTCGAAGCACTCTCACTGGCCGGGGACAACACCAGTATGACCTCTGGGAAGAATTCAGAGAAAGTATAAGACTTTGGATAATACATAGACAGTCAGTGTCTAGACTCTAATGTTAGGGCTGTGAGCCTTGGTATTCATTCATACTCACTCTGGCCACCCCTCAAAGGTGGAGACGGTGAAGAGGGCCATCATGGCTGCCAGAACATTGTCAAAGTCAAACTTGCTGTTCTCCCAGCTTCGAGGCTGGATAATAGGGTGGTCAACTTCTCCATCTTTGTATGTGATGTAGTTACCCCTGAGAAAGGGAGAGAAAGGTAATCACAGAATGTCCTATATCTCTACCATCCTGGCATGCTGGGTAGGATGCAAACACATTATCCCAGCTATCAGAAGCCTCAGTGGCTTGAACTTTGAGGAATAAAGTCACATGTCACAAAAGTGAGGTCATATAATGAAATGGTAGGAGGACAGTCTTCACTCCTCTCTAACCAAGCCACCAGCCTCCCCTGAGTTAACCAGCCCTGGCTCTGCAGCCTCTTAGCTTAAACTCACTTGCATTCTGCCTCCGTCTGTTTGGAGCTATCCGAGCAGGTATAGAGCTTCCCCTAGAAGAGAAGAACAAAGTGATTAGGCAGGCTCCGCAAGGGGTGGGTCTGCCAGAAGACCATCAATAAGCTTCAGGGATAACGGGTGAAAGATGAACAGAGTTCAGATGTGGAGGACGTGGTTCACATTCGGAGCCCAGAGTGCACTTAGATTCATAAGCAGGGAGCCAACCTTTGAAGACTGCTCTCTAGGAAGGTCTTGAGAGGAAGAAAGAAGGGGATCTGGGATTGGAGGGAGTTCATGGGAGGAAGTCAGTGGAAATTTATATAGTGGAGGGTGAGGGACAGAGAGAGTGCTTCAGGTGAGAGACTAGCAGAACTAAAGAGATGGAAGCAGAAAAGAAGAGGCCGTCCAGGCCTCTGGCTGGGTGGTGTAGGGGAGGGGTGGCATAACAGAGAACACAGAGGCCTTGAGCTGGGAGAGGCAGAGCAGGTTTCCCTCTACTCTCTTGGTCTAAGAAGCTCAAGTAGGTTGTGGGGAGAGGTCACGGTGCCTCAGGTCTGATTGACAGGTTGTCGTCTGAGGTCACAGTGTCTCAGGTCTGACAGGTTGTAGTTTCAGGTCGTACTGTTCTGCACACCTGACCTAGACTGATGTCCCCTCTTGCATCTTTGGCTCCCTTCCCTGGAATGCTGATGAGAGGGGAAGGAGGCGGGACTTTACCTTGAAGAGCTGGACCCCAATGCAGGCGAACATGAACTGCAGCAGAGTGGTGACTATTACAATGTTCCCAATGGTCCGGATGGCCACAAACACACACTGGACCACGTGCTGCAATGGGAAGAAGAATGGGATAAGGTTTCAGCCTAAGCAGGCTTGAGCCAGTCCCAGGGCCCCTCCACACAGGCAGCACAGACAGATCCTATGCTCCACTGAGTGGGAGAAAGCGTCCAGGCAACCTTTCCAGAGTCATGATGATGGAACTCAGAATGCGAAGGGCTCCTTGGACTCTGGGAAATGACAGGGATATAAGCCCTTCCTTCCAAACTCCTGTCTGAGTGGTGAAAATACCAAACAATGCTAACTCAAAAATGTCTTCTCCCTTGCCTTCACCCTACTTTTGAATCAATCCGATTACCCTGATGTAGAGTAAGTCTTGTAATTACTCTCGAGCCAGTCCTGTAACTGCCCCGTAGATGACTTCTAGGAACCAGTTACTAACTACCCACATAAATCCTAGTCCCTGACCAAGAGGGACAACACCTTCCTTAGTGTTCTGGCCTTTCTCTGTCTATAAAGAATAAATAATTTTTTTTTTCTGTCTTGGTGGAAATCTTGGCACTCAAATCTTGACCGTGATTTTCACCTAACACTGTGGTGACCTAAACAGGAGACCCTTCTTTTATTTCCTTGTTCCCCTTTCACTCTGGAGCCTGTAGTAATTGGCTGAATCCACCGGCAACTGAAAATCTCTGGCTGGGTCTAATCTTCAGGGATATCCAAAGGCCTACAGGGTAGGTGACTCCGGATGGCCGGCATCAATCCTTTTGTCTCCTTGTGGAAGGCCTTATTCCACACTTGGAGCTGATGGACCCTAACTAAAGCTATTCTTTGGTGGATCACTAAGGCAGTAAGGAAAAGGACGGTCCACTATAGCCTGGAAGTGGGAGGAGCTGTTGCTTCTTTCTGGGAATCTCGTGGGACTCCCCCTTTCTAATCTCCCCTCACTACTCTTTTTCCATACGTTGAATACTACCAGACCTCAATGAACCTCCTAGCTGATGGTGATCCTCTTTCAGGAACATTGTGAGTTAAAAGGGGAATTTTAGGAGGACTTTGACTCTGTTGGCGGGAGAGAAAAGACTTCACTTTTCAGATGGGAAGCTCCGTTTCATCTCTCACTTGGTGTGCCCAAGTGCAAGGTCCACCACTCCTTCAGCTTGTTAGAGACAGCTTTGAGAGTGTCTTCAGGGAAGACGCTGATGGGGTAGGGACACCCCTCTGTTCTCCTTTTACCAGCCAAGGTTGCCTCTCCTTGGGGTGTTGGGGAATGCGCCCCCTTCATTGGCCTTATCCTGGCTTTTTACTCCACATGACTGTTTTTCTTTTCCCTGTATGTGATGGTTATTGCCAATTATTGCTTGACAGGATCTGGGATCACCTAGGAGACATCCTCCAGGCAATTTATGAGGGATTATTTAACTTCTGGGATGCCTGTGAGAAGTTATGCTAATTAGGTTAACTGAGGTGGGAAACCCTATATGAAAATTTGAGCAGCGCCATTGCCTGGCTTTGGGTCCTGGTTAGAAGAAAGGAAAAGGCCACTGAACACAAACATTCTTTACTCTCTGATTTCCTACTGTCATGTGACCAGTAGCTTCGGGCTCTGCTGCATGGTTTTGTGCCATTATGTACTGTATCCTTGAACTTGAACTAAAGTAAATCATGTTCCCCTTGATCTACTTTAGTTAGATTATTTGTTTTTATCACAGTAATAGGAAAAGAAGCTAAGACATCATAGGGGTTACCATGGGGAATGCCCAACTGATCTCCTTTGGGTTGTCAACTCTTCTTCAGAGTACAAGAACACAGAACATGTGGCTAAAATGTTGACATCTGTGCCTGTGGTTTTCTTTCCTGGCTAGAATTTCTGATCTACAGGAAAGACCTACAGGAGAGACCTACAGGAAGCCAGACTTTCAGTTTCCTCAAGATTTTCTCAGAATTTCCCTTCTCTAATAGCTGGTAGTCAAATCCCGATTTTCTGACCCCCCTCCCTCCTGGGGCTGTTATATCCACTCCTGGACCATAACTTCTGGCCATTTAACGGCCCATGATGACTTCTCTCTACTCGCAGCCCAGCCATGCCTGCAGTCTCAGCCCTGCTCTGGCTTCCTCCCGAGGCCTAGCTTTCTTCCTCTCTGATACAAGGCAGAGTTCTTTCTCAATGCTCGGGCTCACTGCCCAAATGAACTCTCTTACACACTGACTTGAGAACGTCAGAAGGAAAAAATTCAATAAACAAAATTATCCCCTCTCGTTTGAACATCGACGAACACTAACTGCCTTACCCCATCCACCTAATATAGACATCATTGTTGTTTGCCTTCATTGGGCCCTTCTCAATGTTTAAGTGAAGCTCTATATCTTTGAGATATAAATTTCCTACCTAGTTGCTACTAAAAAGCATATCTGATTATGTTGTGTCTGTCAACGGCAATTATTTTTATGTGATTGGTTTTTATGGGTCATTTTGTGTCCCAAGAAAAACTGAACAACAAAATCGGTGGCTATTTATTTATCTTTCAAGAAGTTAGCAAGTGCTATTCTTGGTATATGCTTTGTTTTAAGATTCATACGCATGCACATAAATATAAGCACTTTAAAGACTATTTTTAACTGCTACAAACACTTGAAAAACACATTTTCAAGGTCCTTATCTAGCCAAGCCTAGGTAAGAGACAACACTAAAACTATAAAAAACAAAACTGTCATTTAAAGAACCGATTAACCTACTTAAAGGTAGACAATGACATCTTAAGATTTACAGATAATCCTAACATGTTTCCTTACAACATAAACACAATTTTTCCTTTTCATTCTATTTAGAGTAATAACTTACTGTTCCTTCTGGTTTAAAGAAGGAGAAAATATAAAAAAGGAGAAAATACTTTAAATAAGACATTGGCTAAACGATTAAAACCTTTACTATAAAGGTAAATAAACTGACCCAAAAGTAAAGGTGATAAAAAGGATAGAGACAGAACGCCTCATTTTAATGCTGCCTTCTGGTTGCCATGTAGACCTAAATGACAAGCCATTGCCTTTTAGGCAGAGACAACTTCTAAATGCTTATTATAAGAAGGCTAAAGTCTTGCCGGGCAGTGATGGCACATGTCTTTAACCCCAGCACTCAGGAGGCAGAGGCAGGTGGATCTCTTGGGTTTGAGGCCATCCTGGTCCATAAAGTGAATTCCAGGACAGCCAAGGCTACAGCGAGAAATCCTGTCTCAAAAAATAAAGGGCTTAAATCTTAAAACAAATAATGTAAGTTTGTTGAAAAATGTCTCCAGGACTGTTCACATTTTGTTGTGTTTCAACTTCCTGTGTTTTCTTTTAAATTTTTATATAAATTGAGGCATACTCAAGTTCATTGGTGGAAGTACCACACAGGTGGGTTATAGTAAAGTGGGGGAATCTCTGTCATAGGCCTTTGATGTCACCTGAGGGCATTCTTGGCCAAGGGTTGGTGAAAGTTTGGGATCTGTTGCTGTTTTCCAAAAGGATTTACCTAATAATAAGCTGGTGTTAGATGACACCCAAAGACATGGAGAGCCTAGCAGTGTTGCTATCTCTGTAGAGGAAAAAGGTGAAGGATGGCTTTGTTTTTGGTTCGATTATTCCAAGGACACTCACGTCGCTATTTGCACCAGTGGACTAACCCTGCCAGGACAGTCATCATTTTACCGCATAGGGCTCACAGCTTGGAAAGATGGATGATTGCTTCTCTCCTCTGGCAGCATGCACAGCACTTTCCAGCACCAGGAAAGCTAGCCAGTAGGGATAAAGCTTCCAGGTCAGCTTGATTTCCCCGTGTTCCATGACTCAAGTACCTGGTACCGTCAACAGTAGGGTCTTACTGTCAAGTTCTGGAGGGTAACTAAGAATAATGGCAATAGCTTATAATGTTTGGGGGTTTATGGGACCCCACTTGTCAAGAGGAGAGAGATTGGCACAAGGCCCTCCCTCTAGCTGAGGAGCTATTGGTGATTGGTAGCTGTTGGGAGAAGGAGAGCCCATTTCCCTTAAGGGTATGACTCCTGTAAATCAACCATGATCCAGGGGATGGTCTCACATTCAAGAGTATTTGGGTAGCACAAAGTAGACTCAATGGATAAAAAAAAAAAAAAAGAGGACATGAAGTTGGGTGAACAGGTAGGTGGGGGTGGATCTAGGCGAAATAAGAGTAGCAGGGATGAGTAGGATCAAAATATATTGCATGAGATTCTCAAAGAATTAATAAAATATTATTAAAATACTTTCAATATTGTAAAGCCTAAAAATTAAAAAAAGAGATGACACTGGTATGACTAAATTGGCTATAAAGAAAGGTTATTAAAAATACCTCGAGATAAAACTGATGCTTGAATAGAATGAAAAAGAAAAGGCCCAGAGAACTAGGGTATTCTATTTTATGCTTTTATCAAGTAAACCATTTGAAACTTAGTGATTAGATTTCATGTGAATGTTAAAATACTAAGGCTGTGTGTTTACCAATGGGGTAAAGCCTTCTTTAGCTGGATGGCCACTGCCTCCATAGTAGGAGAAATGTTATTAAAAAGAATTACTTGAAAAAAAATTATTCCTATTTGGGGACATGCCTGTTAAATCACTTAACAATTGCAAAACTTATTTTAGTAGACAATATTTAAAACTATTTTAAAACTTTGATCTATTGTACAAAATTCTATCCCCCTGCCTGTGATCTTCAGTCTTTTAGGTTGGTGGGTAAGTAACCATATTACACCAGCTGTTCAAAACTAAAGCATTTGCTTCCTTAGCATATAGCATTCTTGTTGGCTCTCTGAAATCTAAAATCTACTTACCCTCTTTGAAAACATTTATTATCCCTTTATAAAATAATTATTGGGTGTCCCATTAAATTAAGTTAACCAATGAACCATCTTTTTTTGTCCAATTTGACCCAAGCTAGACTTATCTGGAAAGGGAAACCTCAACTGAGAAAATGTTTCCATCAGATTGCTTATAATGTGGGACTAATGATTCCTGTGGGAAGGCCCAGTCCACTGGGTGCAGCGCCTCTTGCAGACAGTCCTGTGGTGTATAAGAAAGCAGACTGAGCAAGTCATAAAGAGCAAACCAATAAGCAGCACTCCTCCATGGCTTCTGCTTCCATTCCTGCCTTCTTGCTCCTATCCTGACTTCCCTTTAAGATGGACTACAACCCTAAGCTTAAAAAAAAAAATCTTGTTTTTGGTCATCATGATAGTTAATCTTGGCTGTCAACTAGACTATACCTTGAGTCAATGAAAACCCCAGTAATATGGGAATGCCTATGAAGGATTTTCTTGATTACATCATTTAAGGTGGGAAGATGTCCCTAAATCTGGGACACACTTTCTGGTGGCAGCCTACATTAAAGGACAAGAAAAAGGAAACTTGTGCTGTTTGCTGCTTGCCCCTCTTCCATCGGCAAGCACCTCTATCCTGTTGCTGAGGCCTTCCTTTGTTCGTGATAGAACCTACTTCTTTGGGATTCCAATGTAAAATGAAGAACAACAGCCCTCTAGGACTTCCCTGGGACTCCAGCATGAGACAGGGACTGCTGAGACATTTCAGTCTCTGTGACTGAACAACTACAGAATGCTTGGCCTTTACATTGTAAAGACAGCTATTGTTGGATGATTTGGACCACAGCCCATAAGCCACTTGAATAAATTCCATATATATAGTCATATCATAGCAATAGAAACCTAAGTAGGACATTTTTTTTTTTAAAATCAGGATCATGGGCTATTGCTGTGATGACCTATCCATGTTGTTTTTGTGAGGATTGCAGAAGGACTTTGAAACTTTGTACTGGAAAAACCATTTAGTGCTCATAGCTTTACTGGGATGCTAAAGGAGCTTGGATGACAGGGATGCTGAGAGAGATGCAGATGATGGAGAGGCCTGGCCTGTGATGTTTCAAAGGGATGTTTGAGTGATACTTTGAATCAAGAATCTGGGGCTCTGGTCAGCTGGGACTGAAGAGTTGGCTGTGATTAACAGGAGGCCAGCACCATTAAAGAGAAACCTCTGTTTTGATGGGACAGTGGATGCTGGTTATTGGGAACAGAGAAATTAGCGCTGATCAAGAAAAGACTGGGATCACAGAAGTGAGCCTTTTGGGAGTATTTTCCCAGTTTCGGCACACAGAAGTTGTGCTCCAAAGAGGGCCAAGGCTACATCTCAGGTTGACAGCTGGAGGTGTTACTGGTTTAAAGGCATAATGAAGTCATGGAGAGTAGCTGAGGCCTGGCCCTGGGTAGAAGGGCTGGAACCCCTGAAGAGAGTTCTGGGGAGGCTGTTGGTGAAGGTGTAGTTTTAGTTGCCATGGAGACCCCAGAATATTGGAGACAGCAGTACCACAGGGTGGGTGACTGCCAAGGACCAGCCTAAGCCTATGAGATGAGCTGAAGAAGGGAAGCTGTCCAGGCATGTTGGAGCTCAGAAGACCATGAGTGGGGCCCAGAAGCTAAGTACTGAACATTCAACACTGCTCACTTTTGGTTTTGCTTTTATTTGATTGTGACTGCACCCTGGTTCTTTCCTCTTGGAACAAGAAAGTATTTAACTTAGTTTGAACGTAATAGGAGCCCACAGTTAAAAGATGAAACTCTTATAAGGAAACACTGGATTTTTAAAAAGACCGAACTTTCAAGTGCTGAAAAATTTAAAGACCATGGGACTTAAAAAGTTATATCGTGTTTATATTATGGTATTAATATTAGCATGCCATCTTGGGGATAAGCGAGAAAGGAAACTTCATGGTTTAACAGCAACATGTTTGTGTGTGAAATTAACAAGGGGACAATTCTCCTGGGTGGTTTGTCAACCTGACACAAGCTAGAGTTGTGGGAAGAGGAACCTCAACTGAGAAAATGTTTCCGTCAGATTCTGTAGGCAAGTCTATGGGGCATTTTCCTGATAATGACTGACGTGGAAGGGCACAGTCCATTGGGGGTGGTGCCACCCCTAAGTGGGTAGAAAGCAGGTTGAGTAAGCCACGAAGTGCAAGTCAGTAGGCATCACTCCTCCATGGTTTCTGCTTCAGTTTCTGTGCCTACCCTGGCTTCTCTTCATGATGGGCAATGATTGTAAGCTGAAATAAACTCTTTCTTCCTCAGGTTGCTTTTGGTCATGGTGTTCAACACAGCAAAGGAAACCCAACTATCATCTTTGTTAAAGAGAGACATAAACTGTAAAGAAAATGAAATTACAAAATTTGTGGAAAAATGGATGAATCTGGAAAGTATTATATTGAGTGAGGTAACCCCAACTCAGAAGGACAAAAATTGTACGTTTTCTCTCATATGATGGCTGTCAGATTCAAATAATGTGTTTTGTGTATGTATCCTGGAGAACCTATGGAAGTCTGGGAACTAGCAGTGGGCTAGTGGATGTGGAATACACTTATGAAGAGGGGACAGGTTACAGAAACAAGGTAGAGAAGATGGGAAAGTTTAAGCAGGTCCTGTAGTGATGGGGTTTCAGGAAAAGGGGTGGGGAAAGGGTTGAGCAAAAGGAAGTGTACATGAAGAAGACACATGGGAACTGTGACCTTGAAACCAAAGCAAACATTATAATAAAACGGGAGAACAGGACTCGTATGAAAGGAGGGGACTGTGGATCCTGAGAGCTAAAGGTTTACATGGAGATGGGAGCAAGGGGGTTGGGAAAATCAGAGGTGGTGAATGGGCTAACCAAAATTGAGGCCTTATGAAGGAGTCTTATGAAATGACACCAGTTTTATCAAAAGAGTTAAGAATTCCAGCATGGAGGTGGAGGGGCTTCTGATACCTGACCCTAGCTGAGGAGCTAATGGCACTCTGAGGGACAGGACGGAGAGTTACTGGCTATTGGCATATTGCCAGTGCCCCAGTTGATAACCCTCCCCCAATGCACATATGCACAACACCAATTGGACTGAATTTGTGAGTTGTTTAAGAGAAGAAGTTGGGAGGAAGACAGGAGACGGTAAGGGGAAGTGTGTGGGGGCAGGAGAGAAAGGGGGAGGGATAAGATTGTGATACATTGTATATGCATACACACACACAACTTTTCAACTGGTACCACATGAAAACATGGTCTTTGCAGACGAGTGGATAATGAAAATGTGGTATGTACAAACAGTGGAATTTTTTTTTCAACATAAAGAAAAGTTAATGAAATTTGTTGGAAAATGGATGGAATCGGAGAACTGTATTATGTAAGGTGATCTAGGCACAGAAAGACAACACCTACAAGTTTTCTCATCCATACGCTGGCTTCTAATTAAGTGCGTGTACTTAGGCGGGAGCAAATGAGGGCAATTTCCAGGAAACAAGAAAGGGGGCAATGAGATGGAAAAAGAGACTTCAAGGAAGGGGGATAGGAGAACACGTGACATACGAAAGCAGAAGCGGGAATCCTGAGGGTGGAGGGGTACAGCAGGGAAGGGGGCAGGTGTGAAGGGAAAAGAGGGGCGATGGTTAGAGTGAGGAATGAGAATTCCATGAGGAGAAAACCTGTTACACCGCAAGCCAATTAAAAAAAAAAAAGGAATGAGTAACTAACAACAAAAACATGGTATTTGGAGTACCAAGTTAGGATAATTTACATTTGGCACCAAAATAAACTACCTCATATCCTCTTTAAGGGAAAATCTGTGGGTTGTGTTTGTTTGTTTATTTGTTTGCCTTGACAAGGGTTTGGAAGATAAAACAATATGTTAGTTAACTTAAAAATGGTTTCTCCCTTGTCTTAGTCCTACCTATCTGAATGTTAACCTAAGTGGGCGAGTATTGTGTGTGCCTTGTGGCATCTGTCGGCTGAGCCGGGTAAGGGATAAATGAGGGAAATTCAATTGCTCTGGAGGCCACTCCCTGGAGCCGGTCCTGTAACCCCTGTAGATGCCTCCTAGGAACCAGGTAGGAGAACCATCGATACTCCATGAATGTTAGATCCTGGCAAGGGATGGCCAACAACTTCCTAGTGTTCTGGCCCCTCTCTGTCCATTTCAAGTCAGTAAACTTCTCTGCTTATGCTATCTTGATGCAAATTAGCGTTTCTGGGGTGCCAGCTTCAGTGACTGCCTTGCCAAGAACCAGGTATACAGAGACTGACTTATCATGTGTGAGTGTGTGTGTGGGGGCAATCCTTTGAAACACTTAACTTAAGAGAGTGACTCTATCACAGGTGACACTCTTTCACCTGTAGCCTGTCCGTCACCTCAGCTTCTACCAGTCAGAGGATAATGTTTACTGCATTGATGCTGTCCGCCCAGACCCTCTTACTTTACCTTTAGCCCCTTGGCCCTGTTTATGGCCCTCAGGGGCCTGAGGACCCGCAGCACTCGTAAAATCTTCACAACGTTGATTGCACTGGACCTGGGAGAGAAGCAGGGTGGGTGGTTAGTTCCCCTGCCTGGGCTACAGCAGAGAATGGTGTGTGGTTGCTCTTAGACATACAATAAAGGAAAAAGGAAGGAAGGAAGGAAGGAGGGAAAGAAGAAAGGAAGGAAGGAAGGAAGGAAGGAAGGAAAGAGGAAGGAGGGAGGAAGGGAGGAAAGGAAGAAGGAAGGAAGGACGGAGCGAGGAAGAAGCAAGGAAGGAAGAAAGGAAAGAAGGAAGGAAGGAAGACTCTGTCTTGGGGACTGAGAACTTCTATCACTCAGCTAAGAACCTGGGGCCTCTTTGTGCCCCTGGGACCTTTGTGACCCTGGCAGTAAAGGCACAGCGGCAGTGGGGACACCGCTCAGGCGGGGGCTCGCCTGGCATGCTTGAGGCCTTCTTTTGGTCTCCAGCCCTGGTGTAGGGAGGGCTGGGGCACAAAAACCAAGTCCCTAGCAAATTAATATGTGACTTAAGAGATGTCTACAGTGTCAAAGGTGACAATGAAAGCCAGCTAGACCTGCATCAGTCCCCACACTGTGACCTGCCAGCTGCACCAGGACACATTTCTTAATTTTCTGTGCCCTGGTTTTTCATCTGGAAAATGGGGCAGTAATTAGCTCCAAGGACTGTTTCAGGGACTGAAGGAGAATTTATGGACATTAGGTAGAAGGGACTTGGCACAGTATAAATACACCAAGTAAAATGGCAGTTTTCACTATCTTGCCTGCTGAAGACATCACCACAGTACATACCAAATGCACGTTGATGGTGAAACTTCAGGCTTTGTGGTTGGAGGTGGTAGGCACGGGGAAGTAATTCTGGAATATTTCCAAACACAATGCCTGGGTCATTGCCCACTACTGTATATAAATTCTACCATGGTTCAGGGCATGCTCAGACTTCCAGGAGGCAGTGGTGTGCCAGGAAAAATGTTCAAAGAAGAAGTGGTGTCCCAAGAACCATGGAATGCCAAGGTCATGCCAACATATCTGGGTGCTTTGGGCTATGGCTACTTCCTGGTGGGAAGTGGTGACAGGTACCCCCATAAGTCCTTCATCGAGATGGCTAGATGGTTTCCATCTGTCCAACCCAAGTAGAAGTCATTAACCACACTCAGTAGCCTCTGAAGTGACCTCTGACCTGAGGTGCCATCTAATTAAAGCATCTGCTCCAGCATGTGACAAGAGGATTCAGACTTAGCTGGGAACCAACCAACCAACCAACCAACCAAACAAACAAACCAGGGTCTGATGTGTTAGCAAGTGCGGATCTTATTCTTCCTACGTCAAGAGAGAGATAGCACAAAAAAAAATGCAGTTTCTCTAGTCCATGGATCTTTACTTCAAAAGCCACAAAGGCCATTTCTCTCTGTCACTGTTCCCACAGCATTTGGGAGGCAGGAAGTTAGAACTGCATCACAATGGAAAAAATTAGGGGCAGATTCAAAAACAAAACAAAAAAAATCAAAATAACCAAGAGGAGTTGTTGGTTCATGTGAAACAGTGACCTTGGTAGTACTGAGGTGGGACTCTAGATGTTTAGGCTCCGAAAGAGAAATTTTAGGTAACATAATTGATGACCAAAGAAAAAGGTCTCACTTCCATGGCCCCCATATCACCATAGAGGCTAACCATGAGCCAGCCTTGGGAAGGGAGACCCAATACCTGGGATACAAGCCTTGGTGACTGGTATAACCTTGGCTTAGTCTCTGAATGTCTTGAACACCAAAATTTATAAAAGTATTTCCTTGCCTACCTTATAAGTAGTGTGTGTGTACCTGTGTGTGTGTGTGTGTGTGTGTGTGTGTGTGTACCATGGAAGAACAGATCTGTGAAAATGTTTTAAAACTCAAAGTGTAGGATTAATAAGCACAGCTGTTAGAATAGGTAGAAACTCAGAATCAAATTTCTTTCAACCCTGAGAGAAACTTTTGCAACTTGGCCTGAGAGGGACTCAGGTTAGAGAGTTTTATAACTCATTCCTTGTCCTTGTGCAGCTGACCCTCCAGGGGTGGGGCTCAGGAAAAAGGCATTCTTTTTAACTTTCCCAGAAGGTTCCTCTGTGCAGCTAAGGTTGAGAAGCAGTGCTCACCACCCTCCTCCTTCTTAATCTCTCTCTTCCCCCTCCTCATTGTAGAACAGAAGCGCATACCCCCACCATGTGTAGGTGTGTGCATGGACTTTGACTGAGGACAGATGTGGGAATCAGGAAAAGGCTGGGCTAGGCCAGGGTGGGTCAGAGCAATGGCCGGTTTGGGCAGCTCTAGGGCAGCCCCAGGCCTTAGGCATAGTGAAGGAGGCTTAGAGAGAGGAAGGTACCACAGATGCCTGTTTGTTTGTAATGGAGCCTGAACCTGCCATGACAAAAATACATGAAAGACACAGATATAAGAAATTAAGTAGGGCTGGTGGTGCAGGTCTATAATCCTCTCTACTCAGGAGCTAAAGTAGGAAGTCATAAGTTCAAGGTCAGCCTGGGCAACTTAGTGGGACCTAGGTCAAATAAAAACTAAAAGAGCTTGGAGTACTTGCCTAACAAGTTAGGCCCTGTGTTCAGTCCCAAGTACCACGAGGAAAGGACGGGGAAGAGGAGGAGGAGAGGGAGGAGGGGGGAGGAGAAAGATACAAAAACAAACACTGGGTACTACTTTAGGCTCCACCCCATTCCAATCCTAGTCACACTGTCAGAGTCCCGCATGAAGGCCCTCCAGGGCTTGACTGACTTCTCTGATACCCACTCCAAGCTGCTTGCCCCCATCTTGGGTTGAGGGACTCACTGGATGCCAAAGGAGATGAGGGACACGCTAACCACCAGCAGGTCCAAGATATTGAAGTAGTTTCGGCAGAAAGAGCCCTTGTGCAGGAAAGCCCCGTAAGCGGTCATCTGCAGGGAGGAGAGAACACGAGTGAGTGACCCACCCAGGCTTCAGAGACGTTTAGACACCGGGCTTCCTGCCTGCAGCATCAGCATCCCCAGGGAAGAGCCCAAGCACTGCACAGGGATAGCAGGAAGGACTGAAGGTGACGCAGTGCCAAGAAACTCCTCCACCATTCCTTCAGCTACCAAAGGACCCCCCCGCCCCCAGCTCGGGACATTTAGTAGCTCTGACAAGTGTCAGGTTCTTCAACCCCAAACCTCAGATCGGCACCATGACACTTTGCTAACATTCCACTGTCCTTCATCCCCAGGCCGACACGGCTGCACCCTGCAGGGGGTCCTTTGCTGCTTCTGCATAGGTTATGTTCCCACTGTGTGCATGGCTCCTAACTTCTTTTCCCCATCTCACCCTCAGAGCCAGCCGAGACACGAGGCATCAGTGGAAGAAAGAGACATGCCCAGATGGGCGTCCGACCATCCTGATTTGTTCAGGACTTAATTGGATTTACCATTAAAAAAAAAATCCCATATTCTAGAAAACTTCTGTCGGTACCAATAACTGTAGTTAGTCTTTCTCTACATGCTAGTCCCAGCAATGCTTAGGGTCTCTGTCAAATGTAGAAGCTCAATGGGGTCTTTTAAAGAGCAGGAGCTATGTTCAGAGGGCCAAGGTGGAACAGTGGGGTAAAATACAGCCTCTGAAGCCAGATGACCTGGATTCAAAGTCCAGCTCTTCTATATTTCATGTGCCTCATGCAAAAAAAAAAAAAAGAACTTCGTTGTGACTCATTTTCTCCATCTGCAACATTAGGATAATGGTAACACTTGTCCCATGGGTTGTGAGCATCAGTGGAGTGGTCACACACGAAGCACTTAGGACATGTTTCTGCACATGACAAGCTCCATAGGTGTGTTCGCTTTCACTATGGCTTGGGTTTGAAATCTATATTCCTCTTATACAACAGAAGCTGTGCCCTTATCTATAAAGTGTGAGTGATATTTCATGTTTTTGCATGGGTCAGACAGCAAAGAACGTTCTCTAAAAATGTTCAAAACAAGAGCATGTCAGGTGATGATTATTGTTTTAGGATCTGACTCCCATTCTTCCCTGTGCGTCTAAGAAACTGCACTCTGGACACTCACACTTTGCTGACTGCAGTAAAGGCTCGCAGAGACCCAGGAGGAGCCTAAATAAAGCTACCGGTCACAGAGCATCTGCCCAAGAAAAAAATGTGGAACTGATGGTTGAGAGACCAAGAACAGTTTCCTGGTCACCTGGAGCCCAGTTTTTCTCTTTGGAATCAGAGCATGTCTAGGGAGGTACACCCAAAGTCCAATACAGGGGGAAAATGGCAAAAATAGCTCTTGTGACCTAATTCTTGCCATTTATCCCCTACAGCGGGAGATCACAGGGGACTCAGGAATCTGTGCTCGGCAGCAGTTTTCAGAAGTGGGGAGATTACATAAAAGATTCTGGGGTAATATGGCTACAGATCCCTCCCAAAGACTACAATTTGGAGGGCTCACTGTCCTATGGCTCTGTGAAGACCTGGACCCCAGACAGTAGAGTTAAGTGACTGTCACAGTTCATATTCATCAGGAAGTCCTGGACAGGGACATTGTGGCTCACAACACAACTTCTGTCTCTTGACTTTGGGCATGTTTTGTCATGGATGCTAGAATTAGAGCGGCCCTTTAGAATGTATGAGGATGTTGGGTGGGAGAAATGGACATGTGCCTAGGCGAGACCAGAGGAAGAGTGGGGTGAGAAAGGGGAAGTAGATACTCGGAAGATAGAACATTTATCTGAAGTCTATGTGCATTCATGGCACCAGAAAAAGCCAGGGACAGATACCTGGACAAGTGACCTTCTTCTACCCTGTGCCACTAGATTGTCACCCGCCTGGTCCCTAAATCCTGAACTATTTCCGAGGAAAGGCCCCGGACTAGGCATCTACGTTCTGAGAAAGGGATGGAGTGAGAAAAAAGCTTCCAAGTTCTTTGAGCTGGAGGTGAAGTTTTCTCCTCGCACCCAACCCAGACAATCACCTTTCTCCAGGTAACCTCTAGGGACAAGCCACCCTGTCACTTATGCCACTTCTTTGGCTGGTTCTGATTCTACTTTCGTTCTCGGCAGAACAGACTAACTAGTACGCTCCTACCTGTCCTGTCCTTTCAAAGACAAATGGCGCTTCAACAATCCCTTAGAGCAAATGAGGCTGTGGGCACCATCACAATCAGTGTCTTGGCATGATACAGGACCTTCCAGCTGGGCAGACAAACCCAGGCGCGGGAGGTGGGGAAGTGGAGTGGGAATGCGGGAGGAGTATTCAGAAGCACAGTGAGCGGAAAAAGAGACTGGAAGCCAAAGGAAGAAGTGGGGGGAAGGGCTTGCCATGGCAATGCTTGCAGAGACTCTCATCTCCGCTTGCATGGCAATCTTAAGGAGAAAGCACCATTGAAATCCTCAAGTGAAGCTCGGCCTGGGGTCCTGGGAACTGGGCCTCAGAGATTTTTTTTGTCCTGGGAAAGCTCCTCTAGGACCCGTATGCGACCTTGAGTATAGGTGCAGCAGCAATGCGGCTCACCGTGGAAAGGAGGAATCAGAATGTAGGCTCTAGGCACCTACTTCCAGGAATGTGTCCCCCATCTAACATCTCTGAACAGGAAAGAAACATCTGAGCCACACAGTTGGTGAGCAAGGGAAGCTAAGGGTCAGGACCACTGAGCCTCTGAGGTATAAGGACATCCTGGGAGACACAGAATCTGCCCAACTCAAGTCATATCTGAATGGCACAGAAATGTCAAGCCTTCTAAAAGGCTGGGCGCGATCTGAGGGTTTCGTCAGGAAAAGAGAGGTCTGGAGCTGGTACTGGTGCACACTCAGAGTGGACAGCGGCTTGTATCCACCCCAACGATGAGCCGAAGAGAGGCCTGGGCTTTTTTGGGAGAGGGCATCCCAGGCAAGTGTCCCAGGAAGATGCTTAAGCTGAAGCCTGTGACCAGAGACTAGGATTCCTCTGTCTGTTCTGCTTGAGGGTAAAATCTCCCCCTTGCTCAGAGAGAAGCCAATATTACCCAAGGACCTACAGCCTAGGTAGACAACCAAGGCCATGCATTGATTTACAGGTGCAGACATATGTGTAACAACCTGTAAAAAACCTCTCTCATCTGAGCTGCAGCTTACGGGGGTGGGGGATTAGAGAAGCAGGCCATAAAGGGTCAGAAACAACCTCTAGTTGTCTGCTGTATGTCTCAGTTGTGATGCTGGCTCCCAGTCCTGTTTCAGGCCCACCGTTACTAACCATTACATGGCCCAACTTTGCTTAGCCATTATGTTTGCCTTGATACTGAGAAAGGGATTGATGATAAGCCTCCAACCACAGGAGCCAAAGTGACTCCTTCATGCTCCAGAGGGTTTGCTTTCCTAGAGCTTGTTTGGCTTTTCCTCTATGCAGGAGGAGGGAGAGAGAATTTCAAGTAGGGCTCAGCCACTGACTGATTCTAGAAGGTACATGCGAACGTGGGCTCTGAGCACCCCTGACAGCCACCATGCTCAGCCAGTGATGGGACAGCATCCATGGCGACACAGCCAGTGCGTGACTTTTCGAGGCCTAGAACTGCGGCTGAGTGAGTGCATGGGAGTGGTGAGGTAGGGTGGGTTCCTCCTGGCAGCTGAGCTGAGGCCAAGTGAGAGCATGAAGTGAGGACACAAGAGTCAGAGAGTGAAGGAAACGGAAGAGTCACCAGACAGAGCAGAGACACAGAGAGACGGAGACACATGGCTCAGGGGCATTACCTTAAGGATAATTTCTAATGTAAAGATACTAGTGAAGACATAGTCTGCATTGCCTAGGATCTGAAAAATAAGCAGAATTGGATTAGTGGCTCTGAGAGTGCACCCAACACCAACAGGAGCATGTGTTAGCAACAAGACAGACAGCAGCGGAGAGCTGGGACTGGCAGAGAGAGGAAGGAAGAGAGAGGGAGATGGGGCTTTACCTTCAGAGCAATTTCAATGGTGAAAATGGTAGTGAAAACAATGTCAAAATAAAACAGAATCTGCAAAACAAAAACAAATAGGATGGGGGGGTGGTGGGCAGGACACAAGCAGGAAAGGGGCGAGGTCAGTGGATGTTCACCAGAAAAGGAAAAGCACTTCAAAACAAGGCGCATCCCCCGTACACCACCAGAGCCTTTCCACACGGAGACAGGCGAGGAGACAGGTAGGAAAGACTTCCCCACATTAGTTCCCACTCAGAGCTGGCACGGGTGGCCCTGGCTCGACTTGGTGTCTGTAGGCTGGTAGGGGGAGCTGCCGGGGCAGGCCTCAACAGGAACCAGGTCAGAACAGCGTCCATCTGGATGCTTCCTTCCATCATCCACCCGATTTACTTATAAACCCAGAATAGACCACGGGATGTTGGTCAGGAGAGCAGAGAATGGGTTTGCTTTTGCAGGGCCACTAGAATGCCCAGCTCTCATACAGCTGGGGCATGCTATGTCAGAGGAGGACATTCACACTGCTGTCATGGCCTGGAGCCCTAGGAAGGAAATCCTCCAGGCCAGCCCAGGCTGAGAACAAACTCTAGCATTGATATTTGATTTCATCTTATGAGATGGACCAGGTCTGAGGCTACTCCTCCTGACCTCAGCAAACAGCCTGGAACAGGCAGAATCCCAGAGTTGAGAACTTTATTTATAGACGTAGCTTTGGGGAGTGGCTCTTTTTTCTTCATGCCTGTGTGGCTGAAATTTAATAAAGTTTCGGGATTTTTGAAGTATGGCAATTCTTTTTAGTATTTAATGTTGATCATGAGAGCCTTGGGTAGCTCCAAACATATTTACTCTTGAAGATTATCATGTTTGTTTTTTTAATTACTTTTCTTATAAGGTCAGCCTTAACATCGGCACCTAATTGCCAATGCTCCTTCTTAGTCAGAGGGAATGGGAGCAGGGCGCGAAACCAGTGGCCACATTGCTGACTTACAGGCAACTTGAGCTTCCTGGGGAACATCCACAGGCAACAAGATGCCTGTCCATTATCACTAGCCAGATGCATTGGATACATGCTCACTTGCTCAGTGAAAACTCCCGGGCTGGGTTTTCTATCAAGGTTCTAATCTCTTAGAGGACTCTTCACTGTAATTGGATTATGAGGTCCAGAACAGGCCTCCTAACTGAGCAAAGACAGCAGCAGCAGAAGCTGTGGGCCCGCTCCACTCTCAGAAGGACAGGGTGCAGAGAGCAAAACCGAGTGCATACATGGTTCCTGAAGGAGGTGTGTTGCACGGGGTCCTCGGCAGCCAGAGAGATGCTGCTGAGCAGAATGAAGAAGAGGATCAGGTTGGTGAAGATCGTGTCGTTGACGATGCGGTGACACTGGACGCGGAACCTGTGTACGAAGGAGGAAGAGGAAGGAGATGTCACAAAAGGTGGGATACAGGCAGGACAAGTTCAGTACCGCTGAGCCTTGGTGTCTTAAGGTAAATGGACTTAGTGTGGCCCACTAGGAATACTTCACACGTGAAAATCCTGAAGAGGGAATTAACCACAGACCAACTGATTCATGATACAGGACATTCCTAATTTAGTGTCTCCACAGAAGTTGTGGGGAGCCAGGGGCACCTAGGCTTCTCCTGTAGGTTGGATACAGGCAAGTTCTAGGTTCGGATCCAAGGGGAAGCAGTTTCCTTCCCTTGCCACTCTTACACACCTGTTGTTGGGGCTGAAGATGAAAAACGCACTGGCTTCTGGCATAGGCACCGCCTTTTCCTTAAGGTGTAGCTCAGACAGGGGCCGGGGGCGTGGCCCCACAGGCATCTCCGGCTCCTCCTCATCCTCTTCCCCTGTAAGAAAGAGCAAAAAGCTCCATTCTCAACTCCAGGTCTCGCTCTCCCCTCTGTGTCTCCTTCTGGACACCTCCTATGGCAGGATCAAGACATTACTGGTGCTCTGAGCTGTAGAATGTTAATCCAGGCCAATGCTCTGCCCTGCCCCATGGGGCTGTCGAAGGCTTTGCTGGAAGTATATCGCTCTAAGGTCTGTAAATAGGATATGTTCTACTTTGTCCAAACTTGTGGTTTTAAAACTGAAAATCCCCTACGCTGGAAAACCCCCTAACACTGAGAAAAAGAGAAGATTGGTTACGATTGGTTGAAAGGTGTGAGAGAGTGGGTTGGGATAGGCTCGGGCACTGCCAGGTGTCACCATTCATCTTAGCTGCAGGTGAGAGAAGGGGGTGGCCTAGCTGACTTGCGCAATCCTGTCTGGCCAAGTCCGATTTTGAAACTCCCATTGATCAATGAGGGAACTTACTATTGCTTTGTACCCAAACTGACATGGCCACAAACTGCCTTTGAAAGAGTTTATCTTTATGCCCATAGACAAACGGTACTCTCAGCAGCAATCTGAGAATTTTCCTGTCGCAATGGATGGTAGTGAACACAGAGACTCATGGCTGCTGTAGGTGCCAAGCATAAGTGACAGTTGCATGCTTAGTCCGAAATAGGGCATTTATATCTAAGATTCAAGGAACACGACAAAAGAAGGACTGGATGGAACATGTGAGTCTGAAGACAGGAACGAGGACCGCAAACTGCTATCTTCTGGGAATGACAGCCACTGCAGGCGAGATCCCACAGCAGCTTGGGTTGCCTCTACTGGGCCTGCATAAGACTGGGCCTGCTGTTAGCCAGTCATGGGTGGGAAGAAGAGACTCATGGGGTGCTACCTCTCCACGCTGAACTATTGGCGTCACTGGATTCTGGGGAGGGGCAGTTATTGTCATCAGCTGAATACCCAGGGAAGAGCCCACCAGGCTGCAGTGGACAGCTCCAATGCCAATCACCCAGGCAGCTCTGATTAAACCCTGAGTCACAGAGCCACACAGAAAGACACGACTGTAGGGAGGAGGGCATGCACGACAGGGGTGGAAGGGAGTTAGGAAAGGCGGGGGTGGTGATAAGAGTAACCAGAATGCACTATATGTTAATAAATACATAAAACCGTCAAGGAACTAATTGAATTAATATTCATTTTTAAAAAGTGAACTTCAAAATCCCTGCATTTTCCTATGATTTCCCAGAAGGTGAGGCAGGGAAAGCGGAGCTCTAGCAATGACAAGAGGCTTTCGTCCTGATGCTGGACAGCAACATCAGGTGAAGGGTTCCTCTGTTCTCCTGGCCAGTGGCTAGACCGCATGGAAATCAGTTGACCCATTCCTACTTAGCTCGCCTCACAGCATCTACAGGGAAGGTGCTATGTGTGCTTGGAAATCAACAGCCTGGGAAAGGTAGCTTGCAATGGCTGCCATACCCAGAAATGTTCCAGAAAATGCCTTCATCTAAATCATGACTCTGCTGCTTTCTGAATATGGCTCTTAGACTCACTCTCCCCGTGCTCCGCTTCCCCTCTGAAGGAATAACAGTAATAGCACATACGTATTTCAGGACACTGATGTATAGCTGAAGTCATGCAAGTGGCAGCTCTCACACTATCATCTCCCCAGAAGACAGATACAGAGCATATGAAGTTAGTTTGCCACGTCTTTCTCAGTCGCATCCTGTCTGCTCTGAATTCCTAACAGACTATCTGCTTAAATCCAAGCATTGTGTGGCCAGTAACTTCAGTGAGTTGACTGGTAGTCTCCAAGTCATGCTCACCCGAATTTCAGAGTATGACCTTAGACACAGGGTGTTTGCAGATGTGATCAGTTATGGTGGACTATGTTGGGCCGTACATCTAATGACAGTTGGTCTTCTGAGAAGGTCTAAAGGCACACACAGGTTAGAAGGCCATGCAAATGAAGACAGAGGCAGAGATGAGTGTGGTAGGTCTACAAGCTGAACATTTCTGGCTACCAAAAGGAAAGAGGAAGAGACACGCAAGGATTCTTTCCTGCTAACACTCTGATGTCAGACATGCGAAAGTGTGATAGAATCAACCTAGTTTATTTTAAGGTGCCCCGTGTGCAGTTATTTCTTAGGGCCCAAGGAGCTGTAATACTGTGTGTTTGGCTGAAGCTAATGCTCTTCCACTTTGAGCTTCCTCTCATTGCCTGCTCTGCAGAACTGACAAGAATGTTAGTGCAGAGACATGGATATGAGAAAGGGCTTTGTAGGCGCAGAGGGAGGAGACTCACACGGGTAGACAGGCAATAGGAGAGGACAGGCAGCTGAAAGCAAACAGAATGCATCCGATATTAAGAAAATAGGAATAAATTTAATAAAACTATTCCTTTAAAATTAACAATTTATACTTGAGACTAAAAACAAAAGCAAAAAACCAAACACTTTCCAGTACTCAGGAGGCTCAGGCAGGTAGATATCTGCGTGAGTTTGAGGCCAGCCTGGTTTATATACTAAGTTTCAGGCCAACCAGAATTACAACATGAGACCCTGTCTCAAAATAAAAAGTAAAAAAACAAAACAAAACAAAAAATTCATCAAAATTCTAGTCAACTAAACAAACAAACAAAAAACCCCACCCATATTTCCCTATCTGATTCCCAGAAAACATACGCTGGAGAGTAACCTTTCCCCCAGTGTCCCAACTACCCGGCCTTCAGGGACTGACCTCCCCATCCATCCCTCCATTATATCTGGGGTTATATGTGTGGGTTACCACATCTGTTTTATGTGGTGCCCACACGGTATGAGGATAGAACCCAGGGCTATGTGATAGGAGATAAGCATTCAACCAGCTGAGCTACACCCCCATCCCAGCAGCCCTTGGTTCTGTTGATGATGAAACTTCCACACTTTCTTAAGAAACAGAACCTACACCCACCCACCCTTGACCTATTGGGCCTTGCCAAAGGCCCATGTGACTCCATCAAAAGACCACGGACTTCGACCTCTGAACCTGTGAGTGAGTTGGAGCCCTTCATCCTGAAAGAGTCACTATTTCTGGTATTTTTCTCTGACAGGAAGCTGACCAACATAAGAATTAAAGGGGTGAAAGGACCAAGAAAAATGAAGGCAAGTGTCTACCAGAGGCTTTAAAAAGCCAACACTCTACGTTCTACTTAGAACAACACAGCTCAAGGTCACTGCCACAGACTTAGGAGGTCTGCCATCCCTCTGACATGCAGAAGTGGGGGTTCAGGGGGCTTAGCTGAAAAGACTCAGATACAGGCACAGTGTACATGGGGCTGCCTCTTACAGGCCACACTAGCCTGGGATGGGCTCTTCTTATATATTACTATAATTTTACTTAAACTTTACAGGAGTAGAGAGACTTGTAAGGTGGCTCTCCGTCTGCTTTCAACATCTACTGCCATTTGGCTGATGTAGTTTTACTTATCTTTTCTGCTCTCACTTTAGGAGATTGTTGAACCATTTTTAAAGCAACTTCTAAACACTTCAGACTCTAGACATAAACACTGTTGTATTTTAGAAACAGAATTACCACATTATTATACTAACATGATTAGCAAAAATCTACTTAAAATAATTTAGCCCCTGGTCCATATTCAATTTTTCTCCCAATTATCTGGAAAACATCATTACAGAATAGAATTTATTTATTGGGGACACAGACAAAAATCTTTCCTTTGCTTTGAGTCATTGCTCCTAGCAAGTCTTTAAGATTCTGCACAGCCTTCCCTATAAACCCTTAGGGTTTTGAGACATCAAACCCTGGACACACTCGGCTCTTCCTGTGAGCCGCAGACACCAACTCCTACTTCTCTTGCAGCGAGAAGGGAGTAAGGGTGGAGGAGAAAGCGAGCTGCTTCCAGGGAGGAGGCCTATAGCATCTCTGTAGACCCAGCAGAGAACCAGTGGGGGAAAGCAACAAGGAGACATAGCTTAGCTTGGCTTTTGGCCACCTCCCTGGGGTACCAGTCGAGTGCAGTCTAACCTGGCTAAAGAAGAAAGGTCATTTACAATCCACAGTCATTTGCTGTGCGTTGCCTTCAAGTTTGGAGCTTGAGACAAACTGGCAGCTTGAGGAAGCAAGCCTAAGGTTCACGTTGGGATGGGGCTTCCAGAAGTTGGGGTGTAGATTGTGGCGGGACAGCCAGGGCCTCCAACCTTAAAACCCTCTGAAAGGAGACTGTCTGTCAGGTCATGCATCAGACAAATGCACAGAATCTTGTCAGCAGGAGTTCCTTTGGCAACGAGAGACCTGAGAGCATTTTATGGAGCCACAAATGGGACATCTGTGACGGCAGCTGTCCTCCTAGTGAGCAATGCCTCCTGAGTAATGACAAGATGGATTCTGGATTGACTATTATTAGGTGAGCAGAATGCAGCAGCATATGCTATACTAATAAAATATGTAAGTTGACAGTGACAGCGACACACGTGGTGGGATGAAACGTTAACCACATCGGTGGCGCAGGAGCACAGCTTCTTAAACGGTGGGCCGCGGCTGTTATACAGTGGGGTTGTAAAAACTTTGCCCATAGTGAAAGGTTTATGACTGTGCAGCCACCAAAACGGAACTCGAAAGCAAAGGTGAGAGGCACCGAAGGTGCTTCTGCCAGCACCCGCTATGATTCACACAGCTTTAGTGCAGCCTAGGTTCTCAACATCCAGCAGGCACTTGCACTATGTGTGCTAGCACGCCAAGCCACGCCAGCGAGCGCTGCTGGAGATGTCGCAATTCGGATTTAAAGCCATTGCCTATCGTAAAGTTCATACAGAGTCTTCTGCTGTTGCAGACACATAATGGTTTAATTGTGGGAAACAGGCAATAGTTCACTATCATTCCTCTAACGTAAGAATCAGCTGATCTCTAGATTTTAAAAAGTGCTGCTTGAGTTGCTGAGTTGAGTGTCATTAAGAAAAATCATGAAATGAATTTTGGCTTGGGATTAGGATGACACTTCTAGCAATTGCTTTATCTGGCTCTAAGCATAGGTCTATTGCTTAAAACGTTTTATGTGAGAAGTATTCTTAGCGCTGACAATTATGAAATAAAAATATTGATCAACTATGAGAAATGTTGAAGATGCTCTGTGACCTGCAACATCGAATATTTAGTCAAGATTTGTTTATTTATATGAAAACAAGCCTATATATCTCATTAGTATGAAAATTTGCATTAGTCTTTAATAGCTGGTAAAATGATCTGTATATGGAAGAATTATTTTATGATAAATTTCTTCATGAAATTTACTACTATTAGAAAATCATTAATTTGTATCCTGCATACTTCCCCCTTTTCTTAAACAACAAAACAGAAATTTAAAAAAGAATAAGCCAAAGTAATTCTATTTCAAAAAGTCTTCCTCAAATATGGTATTATCCCAATATTATCGTGAGGAACCCAGGAAGAACATTTCCCGCAGACGGTAACTGGCAATACTTAAATCCAGACACGAGACGCTTAGTGGTGAAGGTGTTCATAGAGGAGACCAGTCCCATGGACCCCAGGGCTCGGCCACTCCCACATAGCTGAGTCTCCACCCACAGCCTTTCAGTCTCAGGGCCAGGTAGTACAACAGTACCTGCAGTGTCGGGGTTGGAGTGGGGGCTCTTATCCTCATTTTCACTGGGCTGGAGGTCATCCATGTTGATCTAGGCAGCCAAATGAAGGAAGAAGAATTCAGTTAGAATGAGTGCTAGGGTTCTCGGGCTTAGAGGAGCCTTGGAATTACACCATAGTCAGGCGCTGAGCTTAAAAAAAAAATTCATCTTTGTCCTTGTGGCTTTCAGCTCCCCTTGGAACATCAGAAAGGCCAAGGTTCCACCAGCGTGTCTTTTCTTCCCCCTCAATTCCATCGTCACTCTCTTCTCCCCTCATCCTTCCCTTCTTTTGCTTTCATTCAGGTAAAGAACAGGAAGACCCCCCCTCACCCCGCCACTTAGTGACAGTCCCTGAGCTCCTAAAGACGCCAGCCCCTCACCTTGGTAGTGGGTGGAGACTCTCCATCTGCAGTAATGGACTTCAGCTCAATTTTCTCCTCTTTGCTCTCCTCCACTGCCGGCTTCTCCATCACCTCCTGTTTCTTCTCTGGGCTGGCAGTCCTGGCCGGTCAGCAGGAAAAAAACCCAGAAATGGATGTTTACTGGAATGATAGTGGACAGTGTAGACAGGAACTGCTTTGTGGTCTTCTGGGGGCAGCAAGACCAGCCCTGGGTCTACATATATTATCTCTGCTCTAGGGATATCACACCTGCAGCTCCAGGATAGGTACCACAGTGCTGCCCACCCCCGGCTCTGTCCGAGACACATTCGACCTCTCCCAGATCCTTAGTTGCTCCCCCTTTTAAATCCGAGGATTCTGGGTCTCACTTAGGATTCCTAAAGGATCTCTGCTCAGTGTCCAACAAGGGCATAAGACAGTTCTAGCTACACAACTGGGGTGGAATGTAGAACCTTATTCTGTCTTTCTAACACACCAAGGGTACAAAAATAGTGAGAAAAGCATTATTTTCTGAGCTGGAGTTGTGTTTTTTTTTCCGAAGGCAGCTTTTCCCCTCCCCCATCTCCTCCTTGTGTTTCCATTGCTTCTCTTCCCAAGGGATCGCCCCTGACTTCCTGGACCGGTGCGGGAAATGCAACGTCTTTGCAGAGACTATACAGCAACTGCTGGACATTACAGGAGGAGCCAAAGTACCATGAAAGCATCACTCCAGTCCAATTCAGCCAAAAATGGCCATGGGATGAGCACCAGCCCTTTCTCCCACCAGTGGGGATGACTTTCTAAGCTTAGAGGGTTACCTGGCCAGCTTCTTTCTCTCCTTCTCTTCTTCTTCTTCCTTTTGAGCGGAAGTGAGGCTCTCGGCATCAGCCAGGTTGTCCACGGCAATGGCCAAGAACACATTCAGTAGGATATCTGTTTGTGTCCATTCTTAAAGAAAACGACCCTTGGTTTTGGGAAACATGATGACCACAGGGGGCAGGGAGAGTACAGAGCATGCAGAAGTAAGAGCTCTTCAGGAGAAATCCACTTTGACGGGTGGAGACCAGCTGTGTGCCTTCTTTTCTGTCCCCACCTGCCTGCTCACTGTTCAGAGTTTTCTAAGTGGTTGAGACCAGGCAGGCTTTGCAGACTGGAGCAGGACAGGTCTGAAGCACCAGGCTCTGCCTTGCTCTTTAACTGCTGGATTTGATTCTTCATTTTACCACTGAAATGCCTGGCTTTGACAGGCAGCACCACCTCTATCAGATTGTTCTTAAGATTCATTCACATAACACGGCACTGAAGAGGTGGCTTGGATCGCGTCAGTCCGTGACATACGAACACCCTTTGAGGTGTCTGCATGACTAGAGCTGGGCTGATTTGAGAATTCTTGTTGAAGCAGTTATCTGCCTGTTTCTCCCACCCTGCCAAGCCCTGCTTTTCTACCAACAGAAACACTATGGACCAGAGAACCACAGAACCAAGAAGGAATAGCTGGGCAGTTTTAAGTTTGTTGAACCCAATACCCAGTCCTGGGCACCCATAAATCCATACCACTGGCTACACAGAGCTAGAACTCCCCAGAGAAGGGTTTGTACTAGATGACTATTGACTTTTGGCCCTTGAATCTGGTGCTAAGGAGCCCTTATGTGCATTTTCCCAGCCAACTCACCGGGACCCTTTAAGCAGTACTTTCTATTATTCCACTGCAAATTCAGAACGCCTGCAGCAAAGATCTGGATTTCAATTTATTTTTCAAATTTTGAAATACACATGATGGGATTTATCTCAGGGATAGGGCCCAAAGTACATTTGTTTTCATATAATCCTTTACACATACTTAGACATTGACTTCTCCAAACCTTTAATAATTTTGTACGTGAGAAGCTCAAGTGGTTTTCTACCTAATGCAATCTGTAGGCACATAAAAGGTTACTGGACCAGGGATTCTCACCCTGTCTTGTACTGTAGATATGCCAAAGAAGAAGGCCTTTGGTATACCAAGGCCATCTGGCTGATAGAATGCTAATTTTCCCTGCAGGTAGCATAGTGTTCTTTACTTTTGAATGACCCAAACCAAGGGTTTCTCTCAAATTTGGGGCTAGGAGTGTTTCTATCTTATCAACCAGCTCTAGACTCCACTCTCACAGACTCAACCAGTGGGAGAAAAGAAAAGCCTAGGGCTTGAGGCACTGGAGTCCTGTCCCTGCTTCTGATCGGGAAGGAGCTATCAGGAAGGACTTGGTAATTTGTTCATCTGTCTATGACTGTAGCCCCAAGAACAGCTTCAAAGGGAGGAAACTGATAACGCACAGGGTTGAGATCTGAGTGAGTGCAGTGGCTCCAGAGCGGCCAGGGCACACAACTCCAGACACACTGCGTCCTAGACTGTGCGAGTTTGGTTGCGCAGGCTGCAATGCTTAGGGGCCTCATTCACCTAGACTATGACCAGAGCACACCTCCTAGAGAGGGTGGCCCTCGAGTGTAAATGGGCTCAGGAATGTGAGGTGCACTGTCTCCTGGGTCCCGGCTGCAGCATGCACCCAGACCCACACCATGGCTGAAGTGGTTCTAGGCCAGAACACATTTCCTTCCAAGAGTGGTCTTGCCCAGCTAGCCTGCAGATGGGCAGCCACAGCACAGAGCCCCAATCGGGGCCTTAGAGCACACATATGGCACTGTGCAAAAGGCCGAGTGGGATAGCAGGGTTGGGGCAGCATCAGCATCAAAGGATACAATTTCCACAGATGAAGAGGATGATGAAGTAAATACAGACTAACATCCCTGGAAAAGAGGGGCCGCCATAAGCCATGATCCCATCATACATCACCGAATTCCAGTCCTCCCCGGTCAGGATCTGAATGACACATTCCCACCAATAAGGGACACAGCGTTAGACCAACAGCAAACCCCCAAACTCCCCTGCCCTGCCTGCCCTGCCCTGTCCCACTTTATTAACAGAAATTCCCCAAATCTCATTTAGACTTTTCCTGTTCTGGCTCCCAATTATTCTTGGGGACTACAAGCCTGGGCAAGTTGACCCCTACCCGCAGACAAACTGCACGGCCACTGGCATATATAAAAGCTTGGTGATCAAAATATCAGGTTGCTCTTGGCATACAGTATAAGAGATGGTCACCATTAGTTCCCTGGGTGGCAGTGTCAGGTGAATTAAACAGAATCATTTGGTGCCATCATTAAGATTTTAGCAATATAAATGTATACAGATTGTTCCCTTTATTTGTAAATAAGTCCATTCTGAAACTCAAATACTTGTTTCAAATACATGTAGCTGTCATTTGCCGAAACATTCATGAAAGCACTACTCTGGACCAGCTGGAATTCTTCCAGTGGCAAGGATGCTGGAGCAAGGATGCTGGAGAGCAAAGTCAGGTCCTTTACCTCCCAACCAGATCAGTCTCCTCTCCGTTTGGTGTGTTCATACAGGTTTGTTTGTTTTGACTAATGGGTGCCATGGCCACACAAACATTTTTAAACTGATCAGTTAGATTGGTGCATCCTTAGTCCAGCCACATGCAGCTCCGTGGAAGGTTGAGAGACAAGACACTACAGAAAGGCCTTCCGCGGATGACCTAGGCTGGCATCATGCCCAGAGAAAGGGGCCTGCTTTCCCCGCCCCATCTTTTCAAGGCTTCTTCTTGCCCACCTCCCACTTGGCTGAACTCCCCTCCCAGTGCGAATGGCAGCAGCGAGTCCGTACCTGGAACACAGTGAGCAGTGACTGAGGGAAGTTATCAAAGGTGCTCCTGCGGGTCTGCATCTCATCAAAGTTGAACTTCCCTCCAAACAGCTGCATCCCCAGGAGGGAGAAGATGATGATGAAGAGGAAGAGGAGCAGCAGCAAGGAGGCGATGGAGCGTACTGAATTCAGCAAGGACGCCACGAGGTTGCTCAAGGAGTTCCAGTACCTGGGGACAGACAGGGAGTTCAGCTGCCCGTCCTCTGCTGCCCTCCACCAGCCTTCACCTGTGCACCCCTGCTGGCTCTGCCACAATTCCCTGATATTGCCCCCATTTCCTTTGCCGGGTTGGGTAGCGGTGTGAATGGACTCACAATTAGGATGCAGAGCTATAAATTCAGCATCAGTAAGGAGAGAGGGCTCAGAGGCCAGACATTCCCACCCGCTCTGCCAGCTGCTGATGCCCTGGGAAAAGTCATTATGCCCCCTCCCTTTCCGCCTTCCTGCCTGGAAAGAAATGGAGATAGCAGGGGTGTGTACAGTCATTAGGTAACCTGGAAGATAATTTCCTCCCTCTTCTCAAGGCTGCCCAGTCTGTCACACAGCTAATTCAAGTTTATAATTACCAGGGACATTTCTGCTTTTTAACAGAAAAACACACTCCCCTCGCCCAGAATGCCAGTCTGAGCAGATTGCAGCAGCAGCTACCTGGGGAGATGGGAACGGTGCTACTCACAGCAAAGAGTGAGAAAGAGCTTAGCCATGGCCCCGACCTCCCTGTCACGGTGGTCTGTTTTTAAAGGTCATTCCTTTGGAAATTCTGACCCTGTATCTGGGCCCAGAGAGCTACAGTTTCAATAAGAACCCACAGGATTTTGATAATTTTAGATTACAGCTAACTCATCACTCTAATGGGGACAGCTCCAGGCAAGGGTGCTCCAGGGCGCCCTCCAGGGAGTCCTCTGGGCCTCTGTTTACAGCTTATTAGCTCAGTGATCAGAGGGAATGAGCCTTTCTTCAAGAGCCAGCTGGAGTAACCCATTCTGGCAGCAGAGCTCCCACCCACAGCCCAGATTACTGGTTCAACGTCACACGACCATGGCCATCTTGAGTCCTATCCACTGCAATTACCCCAGGCTAACTAACCCTTGCGGTTTCTTTTCCTTACATACTTTGGCAGTAAACTACAGAGATAAGACCATTAGGATGGCATGCAGGGCTTTGCAATCAGACCTGGCTCTGGAGAGCCCCTGACTCTTTGATACTGTACTAAGACAACAGGTCCATTATGGCGATAATGCAATAACTTTTGTTCTAATCTAGAAACACATCAAAAACTATTTTTTTCTGAGTCAAATTGTAGGATCCAATTGGCCTGTCTGCACCTCCAGACTACCCATTCATCAGCAAGTCACTGAACTGAACTGCACGTAACCATAGTCTGTGTCCCTCACCTTCCTCAGTCTCACAACTTCTCTGTGTCAGTTCTTACAGGCTAGGATTGGTGGCTCTGAAAACCCCTGATGTGCGAGCGGCTCCCTGGAGTCCCTATTGGTCAGAGTTGGTGCTGATCTGCTTAACGCAAGAAATCAGAGAGAGATTTGGGTTTGGAACACCTTTCCCTATTATACTTGAAACAGCTCCTCCAAACCTACCGGAGAGCAGAAGCTGCTCAGATATTAACCATGTCCTAAAAGTGTCTTCTCAGGTCCCCCGGGAACCATGAGGTCACACTCTCTGATGCTGGGGCTTGAGTGATTTACAAGCAGTCAGTGCAGGGCCTCTCAACACACTGGTATTCGGAAACCAGCAACTTTAGAGCATATTAAATGTCCAGTCATACAAAGTGGAGGGTGTCTGCATGGAGACTGAGTTCAACTGTCACGGAAGGTCATAACGGTCAAGGGAAGTTGTGAAGTACACGGGGCTGGGGTTGACCCGAGAGTTAGCTATATCTGGGAGTCATGGGGTCACTCAAAGGAGTCAGCCACAGAAGCTCTGGACTCCAGAGGATAAGTCACTACGGAGACCAGGTGAAGAGGCTGAAGAAACAAGACAGGACAGAAGATTTTCTTGACCCAGGGTCTCCTGAGGCCTGAAGCTCTAGGCAAGTGGAGTCTATGGCAAAGGGCTGGAGCACAGGGCAAAGCAGAACCCACCTGAGAGCCAGACAGAGATGAACAGGCTGGCCAAGGGGAAACACTAGCTAAAGCATAGCCCTTTTCTCCAATATGGCCCGCATGCCCGAACCCAAGTGCTATCCTGATTAGTCTGGGCTTCAGGTAGCTAGGAAGGGGTACCACATCATGAGTCGTGAAGTTTCCTGCTGACCTTTCTCCCATGTCAGGAGATAAGAACAGCAGGGCCAACCTGTACTTTCCTTACCCCACACTAGTAAATCCCAACGTTCCATCTTCAAAACAAATCTTGATTTTGGCCACCTCCCACTGAGTCCATCACCTTGGCCTAGCCACCAGCCTCTCTCACTGGGATTTCTAGAACAGCCTCCTGCTTCCCATAGCAATTTACCACACCAGAACAGTGAGCCCTTCATAATGGAGCCACTCCCAGCCACCGCCCTTCATGATACCTGGTAGAAAATCCTGAACCAGCTGGGCGGTGGTGGCGCATGCCTTTAATCCCAGCACTCGGGAGGCAGAGGCAGGTGGATCTCTGTGAATCTGAGGCCAGCCTGGTCTACAAGAACTAGTTACAGGACAGGAACCAAAGCTACAGAGAAACCCTGTCTCGAAAAACCAAAAGAAAAAAGAAAGAAAGAAAGAAAGAAAGAAAACCCTGAACTTCCTGGCTCCTATGCTCGTCCTCTTTCACTCCAGTCGCATGAGTCTTGATGCTCTGCAAACAGGTCCTCTTCCATCAACAGCCTACTCAGCTCCTTCCCAGAGGAAAGTATGGTCCTCCTTTAGGTCCTGGGTCTCTGATCTCAGAGCAAGCGTCCCTGACCTCGGCTTTAGTCCCTTGTTCTACATTATATCTTAAAATTCGTATTATTGTGTTGTGTGTGTGTGTGTGTGTGTGTGTGTAAGTGAACCACAGTACACCTCTGGAGGTCAGAGGATAACTTTCTGCAGGCATCCTGTCCTACCTCTACATGGTTCTGTGACTGAACTCAGACCGTCAGGCCTGCACAGCGAGAACTTCATTCAATGAGCCATTTGAACAGCAGCTCATTCTATTTTTAAAGGAAATATCACCACCAGACAAATGTCTATTTCTTGGCTTAGTGTTTCTTTTCCCTACCAGAATTGAGGTCCTTGGGGGAAGGGAGTCACATGTGCTGTTTGGTTCCTTTATTCTCTCTTTCTCTTTAAATAAAAAATTCCTTATTGATGTTTTGGGAAATTAACATCACGTGCCCCAATCCCGCTCATCTCCCAATCCCTCTGTATCTGCCCCTCGCCCCTGCAGCATGCCCCCCAAATTAATTAAAAACAAAAGCAAATAAACAAACGAAAACTATCTCCTTCATCCATCTTTCCAACACCTCTTCATTTGTCCTAGTGGCATCGGGAGCGGCTGTTTGTCATGTAGTATATCCTTTTCTAATCAGCCCAACCCCCAAAATGCTCATTGCAATGAGCCATTGTTCTGGCTCGAGGCCTCTGGCACAGCATTGTCACCAGACCTTCACTGAAACTTCTCTCAGCTATCTGGCCAGCTCTTCTTCTCTTAACTGTGCCTGGCCCTCAGAAGGTGATCAATGAGTAGTTTACTGAATAAATGAACAATTTTACTATGAATGTAACAGTTTGTCCTTACCTGAGGGACAGGCAGTGCGCCCACAGGCGTGTGTTTGCTTTTGTGTACATGTTGTAAGGTGGAGCAGGGGTGAGGATGGAGGGATACAGAGATGGGAGCATGTTGTAAGGTGAAGCAGGGGTGAGGATGGAGGGATACAGAGATGGGAGCATGTTGTAAGGTGGAGCAGGGGTGAGGATGGAGGGATACAGAGATGGGAGCATGTTGTAAGGTGGAGCAGGGTGAGGATGGAGGGATACAGAGATGGGAGCATGTTGTAAAGTAGGAGCAGGGGTAAAGATGGAAGGATACAGAGATGGGAGCATGTTGTAAACTGGAAGCAGGGGTGAGGATGGAGGGATACAGAGATGGGAGCATGTTGTAAAGTAGGAGCAGGGGTGAGGATGGAGGGATACAGAGATGGGAGCATGTTGTAAGGTGGAGCAGGGGTGAGGATGGAGGGATACAGAGATGGGAGCATGTTGTAAAGTGGAGCAGGGGTGAGGATGGAGGGATACAGAGATGGGAGCATGTTGTAAGGTGGGAGAAGGGGTGAGGATGGAGGGATACAGAGATGGGAGCATGTTGTAAGGTGGAGCAGGGGTGAGGATGGAGGGATACAGAGATGGGAGCATGTTGTAAGGTGGGAGCAGGGGTGAGGATGGAAGGATACAGAGATGGGAGCATATTGTAAGGTGGGAGCAGGGGTGAGGATGGAGGGATACAGAGATGGGAGCATGTTGTAAAGTAGGAGCAGGGGTGAGGATGGAGGGATACAGAGATGGGAGCATGTTGTAAAGTAGGAGCAGGGGTGAGGATGGAGGGATACAGAGATGGGAGCATGTTGTAAAGTAGGAGCAGGGGTGAGGATGGAAGGATACAGAGATGGGAGCATATTGTAAGGTGGGAGCAGGGGTGAGGATGGAGGGATACAGAGATGGGAGCATGTTGTAAAGTAGGAGCAGGGGTGAGGATGGAGGGATACAGAGATGGGAGCATGTTGTAAGGTGGGAGCAGGGGTGAGGATGGAGGGATACAGAGATGGGAGCATATTGTAAAGTAGGAGCAGGGGTGAGGATGGAAGGATACAGAGATGGGAGCATGTTGTAAAGTAGGAGCAGGGGTGAGGATGGAAGGATACAGAGATGGGAGCATGTTGTAAGGTGGAGCAGGGGTGAGGATGGAGGGATACAGAGATGGGAGCATGTTGTAAGGTGGAGCAGGGGTGAGGATGGAAGGATACAGAGATGGGAGCATGGAGGGGTTGGGAAGTGAATCTGGGAGGAGTCTGGGGGAGAAGGAGGTAATTATGATCTAAATACATTTGATACATGTATGAAATTCTCAAAGAATAAAGTATTGTATTAAATAAATTAAAATGTGATTTTTAAAAACAGAACACTAGTGTGGTTCTGAGGTTAGGGAGCTGGCTGTGTGAGTCCAGCATGCCACAGCTGACAGCGGGGTATG